GGGTCCCAGGGTCTGGGATCTGGTCTTCAACTTCCTACGCCCAGGTACTGGATTTTCTGGCCACCAGGCTAGTCAGTGTTGGAGCCAGGATTTGAACCCTGGCCTCACCGGTTCCAAAACCCCCTGCACACCATTAGGTGCTGGCCTCTGGGAGGCCCAGCCTGCATAGACTCCATCCCTGCCTCCTCTCTCAGTGACAGTTAGGTGGGTGTCCCTCTGAGTCCCTTCCAGGGGGAGGGAAAACCTTGGATTCACAGAGCGATTATTAAGCCTCAGGGGAGGAGAAGCTCCCCAAGCGTGCAAAGCGTGTGCAGAGACATCGTCACATTTCCCCTGTACCGCAGCCATGTGAGGCAGGAATGAACGATTCCCATTTCACAGAGAAGGTTGACTGAGAGCCAGAGAGGACGAGGGGGAGAGGGTGCAAAAGGAACTAAGTATCCATGATGTTCTGGGCACTGTGCAAGGTGCTTTATGTACATCATCTTCCCAAGGCCCCCCGCCCCAAGTTGTTTCCCTCATTTCCTGGAGGAGAAAAGGGTTCAGAGAGGAGGAAATATTTGCCCAAAGTTCAACAGCTAGAAAAGGGCAGGACCAGGAAAACTTCTCTTTCCATCAGACAAGGTCCCCTCTGCAGGAGAACATGCAGTGTCCATGACTGTGAATTCCTTGGGGCGAGGACTGTCTCTCTCTGAACACAACTCCTTTCCTGCATACCTGGCAGTGGCTGCAAACAGTGACACTCCACTACCACCTGTCGAATGGGAGACACGCTTCTGCTTGGTGACATTGCCATGCTCATGCAACTAGCCTGGGGAAGATCAGCCAAGTGGACATAACCCCCTCTATGGGCAGAAATAAGTCTTGGGCTCCAGCACAATCAGGGCTCTGCTGAAAGCTTATAATGTCCCATTACCACAGCAGCACTAACCCCTCCATTCCCTTAGGGTGTGGGCAAAGCTGCTCCCACCCTACCTTTTCTCCCAAGCCGCCTCAAAGTCCTCCCATCTCTGAGATTCTGTGATTCAATTACTTATCACCAGCCTACACTGTTCCTGTCGTTTTCATTTATTCCATCTGCTGAGTCACCGTGTCCTGCTATGAATTAAAGTGGTTATTCACAAGAACATTTGGCCGCCAGTTGCCATGCACACTTTGCAGCCTGCTTCCCGCATCACCTGTTAATTCTCAGCAAGGCTGCCTGTAAGCGTGGGTACCATTACCCTTATCCAAGACCCATGGGGCATCAAAACTCCCCCACACAAGGAGGGGGCCCTGATGACGCATGAACAAGAGCAAAATCACTAGTCCCAACTACGGAAAAATCGAAAACAACCTAGAGCACATTACATCCGTCCAAAGCATGTGGAGGCAGCAATTTATCAAATAAGTCAACAAGTATACCATTTTGTTTTCTGATACATCTTTGGCAAAAACTTTGGACTGTTTGCTGACCATTGTAAGATGTATTTTTATTTTTATTTTTTATTTTTATTTTTTTTAAAAAGATGACCGGTAAGGGGATCTTAATCCTTGACTTGGTGTTGTCAGCACCACGCTCAGCCAGTGAGCGAACCGGCCATCCCTATGTGGGATCCGAACCCGTGGCCTTGGTGCTATCAGCACCGCACTCTCCCGAGTGAGCCACAGGGCCGGCCCCAAGATGTATTTTTATATTGATAAGTTGTGAATGCTTTGTGCAGATTACTACCTCCCCTTGAAAACAAAATGAGAGAGGCTTGGAATGCAGGGCACTCGAGGAAGGGGCTCTGGTAGGGGGCTTGTAAGAAGTGGGGATGGGCACCTCCCCCAACTCTTGCAAATGTCCTTGGGCGATGGACAGTGAGCAGCAAGCCAAGTCCAGCCCAGCACAGAGAGAAGGCGGAGAAGGGAGCCACTGAGAGCTTCCACAATAAGGGAAGGGTGAAGGGGCTTCAGAGGCGACCAGGACGTGAACCACTAGGCAGAAAGAGCAGAGTCATCAGCCCATGGCCCATTGCTCCTGATAAGTGTAGCACGTCATGTTTGCAGAGCCCAGCAGAGGGGACGGGGGATCAATACGTTACCCCACCTTCACCCACTCTCTGCCCATCAAACATCAGTGTATGGTGAAATATGCTTTCTCTGAATCTAGGGTTATTTGAGGGGTCACGTACCCCCACCCAAGGGATGTAGTCGGAGGGATGAGTCGCAGGCCTCTGACCCCAAGGATATGGTGGGGGATGCTGTTCCAGTCCCAGGGAGCTTGTCTCCTGCCTGGCCCTCATGTCCAGCTAAAGAGCCGCCCCCACCCTGCTCCAGCCCTGCCCTTCCCTTCACCCATTCCGATGACTGACTGACACTAAACGACAGGGTGGGGCAGGGTGATGGGTTGTACCTGTGCCCCTCCATTCCTCTCCCTGTGGGGGAGCCTGGTCTCCTGGGGGAGGAGGGCTTGGGAGGGACCTTGAGGGCTTTATAAGGCAGGCCTGGAGCACCAAGCAGAGCAGAGGACTGAGAGGCACCAGGTCCAGCCCAGCACCACGCACCTCCCAGCTCTGCAGGTGAGAACACCCAAGAGGGAAGGGGAGAGGCTGAAAAGAGGGTTGACAGGTCCCCTTCCCCCATCAAGGCCACCATCCGGAGCCTGGGACTCATGCCTTGGTATCCCCAGGTCTGGGACCTTTCCCTTTGCCCAGGATGGGACTAGGTCTCACCTCTAGGTCCCACTTGGCATTCCCACCCCTTGCCTTCCACCTGTCCTGCTGCTCCAACCAGGACCACGACCCTCTTACTCCCCACTCATCCCAGCCCTTAGAGGCGAGGAGGACAGGAGCCCTTCTCCCATCACTCAGGTGAGAAAACTGAGGCCCAGGGGGCAGATGCGACCTGCCCAACATCATACAAATTATTAGGCAGTGATGAAACTTGAACCCATGGCTCCTGGATCCCATCTCAAGCTCTTTCCTGGACCAGCACTGCCCAAAAGAACTTTCCGTGATGGTGGAAATGTTCTATACCTGCGCTGTCCGATACAGTAGCCACTAGCCTCCTGTGCACTTGAATGTGGCTAGTGTGAGGGAAGACTTTATTGTAATTAAAGAGCTACGTTCGGCTGATGGCAACAGTATTGGACATGACGTGTGGCTAGTACTGGACAATGCTGCTCTAGATTACTGACTTTTCAACTTTATGTCTTTAGCAGCAGAGTTATTTTTCTCCCAAAGGAAATCTACAAAAGACCTCATTATAGGGGAAAAAAAACTACAAAAGCAGTGTATTATTAATATAAATGGATTTTTACAAGGGAAGCTTTGTATCATTTACTTATGATAAATCCATCAGAACAATGAGGCTAAAAGATCATAAAATGGTGAATCCAGACAACAGATGAGCTTTTAAATTTTGTTTGTTCCAGCAACCAGTTTAGTTCTGTATTGTGCTTTCCCCAAATTTGATTCACCCTCATATCTAGTTACAAATGATGACAGTTTAATTTTTTTCTTAGTTGCTTAATCACTATCACAGGATATTCCTCAGTTAAGCAAACGTGGCAAGAGAGGCTTTTCTCTGAGGGCTGCACAAAAACAGGGTGACCTGGCGACACATTGAATGTGCTGGCGGCCTGCAAAGCAATAGCATGTATCTGGAACGCAGTCGAGTGCGTGTGTTCATCTGGTATTACAGCTGGAGAGTTCACTTTATTTTATTTATTTATTTTTTTAAAGATGACCATAAAGGGATCTTAACCCTGGGCCGGCCCGGTGGCGCACTGCTACAGTGCGCCACTTGGGAAGCGCGGCAGCGCTCCCGCCCGAGGGTTCGGATCCCACATACAGACCGGTTCCCGCTCACTGGCTGAGCGAGGTGCAGGAGCAACACCGAGGGTTGCGATCCCGTTGCCGGTCCCGGTCCGGTACGGGGGCGAC